ACCCCAATATGACAGTGGAAACACTATCGTTCTGTCCATACAGCTTACGAAAGATTATTTTCATCATATGGGCCCTTTAATGCATAGGCATGGTACTACTGCATGTATGTTAAAGTATAGTTCACCCAAAATGAAATTAATTTTGTATTTACTCTTTTAAAGAATCATTATGCAGCTTTTCCTAAACAACACCAACTCATAATGACCAAAAAAGGGTGAAATCTGCTTAAATGTCAGAACTTTCATTCTTTGAAGTAATGTTAAATGCACAAGCCATTCAAATGAATGTTGTCTGAAAGTTTTGTCCTTGAGTGAACTGTTCAATAAAAAGTAACAAATGTGTTTACCTTTCTGCTCTTCTTTTTTCAAAAGAGAAAAAGAAGCGCACAGGTTTGTAAAGATATGAGAGCGAGTAAATAATGACAGAATTTTTCATTTTTTGGGCGAACTATGCCTTAAATGCAACCTCTTTGTTGTGTGGCACTTTCTTCTCTCAGAATAGCTGCTTTTGTAGCCATTTTTTATTTTCACCCTTAGGCCTGAGATGTTTCTGTTTTCCTCTGAAGAAACGGCTTGAGACTTTGTTGTTCTGCGTTCCCTCAGGAAGCTGAGCCTTTCCACAACTACACCGGCTGCATTGAAATAATCGAAATTAATAAGCTCAGAAGATTCCACATGGACCATGCCATTGCCAGGAACAATGTTGACAACTGCAGGTAATTGAACCGGATTTTCCATCAGGAATCAATACGATTCTGGGCAGTTTTGGGAAGTCTAAAGTCATTTCTAAAGATTCATATTAGGGATTCAGTTTGTTCAAAAAGAAAGGGTTCACTGAAATACCTCACTGTTGAAATCCCAGTAAATAATTGTGGATAATTTTTTCACAATAAATTATTGTATTTTGCCATTTCATCACTGATTTTTGAACAATTAATGCTGGAATGCATTAGTTTAAATACTGATCAAGATTAATTCATTCATTCATTCAAAAAGCTTCATTAGTATTGATTGAATATGGTCTGAATGTGTATGTTATTAGTATACAGTATATTGACAAAAAGGAATTTTAAGCATGTTTTTTTTTTTTTTTGTTAAATTAATAATTTATAGTGACTGCTCTGCATACTGTATGTACCATGACTGTCAGAAGACAATCATTGAAACATTTAGTACTATGTCAGGCATATTTATGGCAAGATTCATTTGATGACCTTTTAATATGCTCTATTTAATAATTGCAGTGTAGCTCCGAAATACAAATTAAATGTCATTTAATATGTTTGTACTTTGCCAATATTCTAGGTTTTACTCATTTTTCAAACTACAAAAAAAAATATTTCAAATATAATACAAATTAGAACAATCTCTTAATATTTTATATATTTCATGTTGTTTAGTCTATATGTAAATACAGCTGTCACAATAGAACATTATTTCCACCATAGTTTGATCATTTCTCACTAAAGATATTTTAAATACTAAAGCAAGCATTTTATTTTCCTTGTATTGAAATAAAATAAATGCCAATGCCATATTTAAAGTCTTTAAAATGTTTGTATGTGATTTTCTTTTTTTTTTTTTCCTTTTTTTTTTTTGTCCTGAGGTAGGCTTGTAAGCTGAAATGCGTTGGGATTTATATTTATTAATTTTTTTTTTCCTTTATTGCAAGTGTTGCTGGACACAGTGGCTCAGTGGTTGGCACTGTTGCCTTACAGCAAGTAGGTTGCTGGTTCGAGTCCCGGCTGGGTCAGTTGTCATTTCTGTGTGGGGTTTGCATGTTCTCCCTGTGATCATATCTGCCTGATCTCATGAGGAAACATAAGAATTTTACGTTTTGTCAGTTTAGTGGCTAATTTGTATGAATTTGTACAAGTTTAGTCATACAAATATACGATTTTAAAAAGGAGTCATGGCACCCAACCCCACCCCTAACCACAAACCGTAATTGGGTGAACTTATGTCTCTATCATGCTTTCTAGTTAAGGCTGCTTCATGGGATCCATTATAGTGTTTGTACAACAATGAGTACCAGATTAGCGTGAGAGAAACCGGCCACTATATATTTTCTAGATTTGTTGTGATGAATGTTGACACAAATTACACATCGTCAGGCAGAAGTGTTTTATCACCATCAGCTACAGTACTGAAAAGTTCTTATGATGCTAAAGTACAAAATAGATAGAATAATGAAACATAGAACTTATATTATCAATTATATAGCAAAATGTATATTACACTTAAAGGTTAAGCACAGACCCCTCCTGAAAACAAAATAAAAATATTTATTGTGCATTAGAGGAAAATGCTAGCATGGTAGGTATCAAACTGTTGTTAATGTAAAAGTGAGTGCAACTCATGTTGTCTTGTACATGTGGCAAGATAGGACGATGTCAGTTTGACTTATGGTTGCTTAGCAATGACAGACACCACAGAAGTGCAAGTTCAGAAGCACGTTGAAATTGGTGAAGGAAGTGGTGCGCCTCTTGCTTTTCATGTGGTTTTGCATGCAATGTTTTATTTATTTTTATTTATTTATTTATTTATTGAGAACTCTTTCTTTCAGGAAATATGTACCCTGGGCTACATCTGCTTGCGGTTTTTGTTTTCACAAATCCACTAGAGTGCGCTGTGTACATATTTAAGATTTTTAAATAAGTTACTGGGCCATGTTTTTTCATATGTGTCATTTCTCCTAAATCCACCGGAGGCCGCTGTATACATTTCTGGGAATCTCAACGTCCTTCATGTGCGCTTCTGTGAGAGAAGCTGGTCAGTTTGTTGCGCATGATATTTCAGCTTGATATTGACTGACCTACCAAACCCCTTTTCTAAACCCAACCGATGGTGTTTTTTTAAAAGAAAACTAGAAAAGAAATTGCAGCCACATTTTTGGGGATTTTGTTTTACCTGGTCGGTGATACCAATCTTCACTTGGCTCAAACCCTGGTCTGTTACATATACTCCCTATTACAAGTTTGACACTGTACATGAGCTACCAAGCAAACCAATAACACCAGAAAAGCCATCGGTGGTTGTGGTACCACCTTGCATTTATTTTATATACAAAATATCTATACCCTAGGGATAAAACAATTTTAGATTTTGGTTGTATGATCATAGTCTGAGGAATAAACATGGTATTATGGTTATAATAATTATTATCCATTCATTTTTTATAATAATTGGTTTTTGGTAAACATTTTTGATACTTAAACATAAGCAATAAATTTACACTGAAAATAAATGACAGAACAACAAATAAATAAATAAATAAATAAATAAATAAATAAATAAATAAATAAGAATAATAGAGTATTTTTCTAATGCTGCATGTTTTTCTAAAAGCTACATGGTAGCCAAATATTTCTCTTTTAAAAAGAACAAATGTAGTGAAAGACTGCTGAATATCCACGAACAAGCCGTGCCTCCATTGGAAATAACGAACTTGTGCGTGCAAAGGACGGAATATGTAAACAGCCCTCAGTTAATAGCCTCAGCCATAGTTAAAATCAGCCTTTAATTCCGCGTGCGTGCCTATTAGCCTCGGTGTACAAGCTCAGGACTTTAAACTAGGGCACAGTTGGCATACAGTAACTTTGTTTGTATACAGCAGTTTTGTTTCGTGCAAAAACACAGTGTTGAGAAGCCTTTACGACTAATTAACAGTGAATAGTTTAATAGTAAAATCGGTTAATCGTTGCATCCCTAATGTACCCCTGAGCACATATTTCTTGGTTCCCCAAAATGTAGCCCTAGGTACAAATTCCCATTGAGCCTGTGCTGGTTTTATTTGACATGGAGGTGTTTTTTTAAAGCATTTCGAAATTTGGCAAATTGCTTTGGTTAAATTGTATTTCTGACATCACTTTTAGCATATATATTTTTTGTTTGTTTTAATTTATTTTTAATGATAACCCATTTACAAAGATCATCCAATGCTTGCTTATAATGCTTGTTAAATGATAAAAAAAAAGTCTAAGGTTCCTGATGATTTTTCTGGATGCTTACTTAACAAATCCAGCTGTAGATTAATGTCAATACTGTTGTGACAATACAGAAACTTTCTGTACTGCCCCTATTTTGTGTTTACTTCCTTTGTCACTGCCTTTTATAATGAGTTCAACCCCATTGGATGCTACAACCAATTACAATGATGGGAAATTATATAAAAGGGTTTTTTTCTTTCTTCTGGGAGAGAGAGTTCTGACCTCCAGTGTGGGAGTGGTGTTTGCGTCACCAAGTTGCGTTGCGGGTGTGGCTCTGCCTGGGTCTGAGGAAGCTGAGGAAGAGATGCGGCGATGCTCAAGTTTTCACTGACTTGTCCTTTATAGCCACGGTAACCCCAAGTTTCCTGGTAATTGCTGACGAGTGCCAGTCTTACGTTACCTTCGTGTTGCAAAGTTACCGGTGCGATGTGTGAGGACACCTCCGAAAACGGCTGCCTGTTCATCATTTCTGTCCGTTCTGCCAAGTCACCTGCCAGCCAGTGAACTGCTGACGTGTAACCTCCTGACGTCACCACTGCAAGCCTCTTGGGTCAGTTTCACTCATACACTTACATACATACATTCTCCACCCAACCTCCCTTTATTTTCATTTAATTAGTTATTTGAGAAATTTGAAAAGTTTTGTTTATTTATTTCTTGGTGTATTTGTTGTTGTTTTTTGAGAGGAATCTTGTTTTGGGTTACTTAAAATGATTGTAGGATATTGACTATATAAATATTTATTTTTGGTATTGTTGTTACTTGTAGTTGTATTTGCCATTTAAATTAATTCATTAAATCTTTCTAAGTGGAATTCGATTTTCTTGTTCTTATTTCGTATGGTTCTATGTTACTGTATGTAACGGAGGGTCTTGTATAAGTTTTGTTTTCGCTATCCTGGGTAATTAATTATAGTTAGATTTATTTGTGGCAAGGTTTAAAACTTGTCTGGCACCCGAAATCATGCATAAAATTTGTTAATATATGTATGTTATATTATAATATATTTCATTTTTTTGCCCGAGGGTGACTGCGTTAGAGGGAGATATTACCAGACGCACCGCCTCAACAGCGCCTTCCGTGGTTCAGTGGTAGAAATCTCGCCTGCCATGCGGGAGACCCGGGTTCGAATCTAACCTAAGAGTTATTAATTAAAAATTTTTTTTTTGTGTGTGTGTGACCACCGTTACAGAAATGGCACCCGAACAGGGACATGAACACTTTAAGGGACATTGAACACTTTAAGGGACATGAACACTTTAAGGGACATTGAACACTTTAAGGGACTTGAATAATTGAAACTTTCATTGATTGACTTGAATAACTGAAAATTTCTTTGACTGACTGACTGACCTGAATTACTGGACAGGGTTTTGTTTGTGAATGTTTAATAGTTTAAAATTGTTTTTTTTCTTGCTGAATGTGAGAACTATTGACAAAAATCATCAAATAACTGAAATTGTGTAAAAAAAAAAAAAAAAAAAAAAAAACTTGTCATGTATGTGGTTTTTGGTATAATGATTTGAGTTTATTGTGAAAATTTGCTTGAGCAACCAGTGTAAGCTGAATTTATTTTTTGTATCAAAGTGTGTGGGAACTTGAACTAGAAAATGTGATCGTCATCTGTCTTGTATTTTTGTACATGCATTTGAAAGGTTTCTCTTACATTGATAGTATGGACATGATGTAATTGATTGCAGAGAACAGTTTCTTTGTGAGTATTTTTTGTTTTATTGGTTTTTTTATTTATTTATTTATTTTTTTTCTGCTGTCCCAAACACACACAAATCCTAATCACACCCACAACCAACACAAGTCATGGCCCAGTTCTTTTCCCATTCAACGTCAACATATGTTGATATTGATGCACCTGATGCCCCAACAATTTCCACGCCAGTGTGGTCACCTCCAGTGCAAACTCAAACACTTTCTGGACTTCCACCTCATGACCAAATTATGCATAATATTTCACCGGTCCATAGTTTCCCAAGCCATGCAACTCCAGTACAGACACTTCCTACTGCTCTGGGAGGCCATATTCTAATGCAACCTCTTTCTTTGTCCCAGGAACATGTTAGCATGCAACTGTGCACGTCTGCAGATGTTTCATCACCTTCTACAATGGAACAGCATGATCTGCCTGGGAACCTTCCAACCCCTAGGAGAGAAATTCAGCAGGTCAGTTCTTATGTGCAAGGTAATTTGGACAATCTGATGGTAACAATGAAAAAACAAGAGAAATGTTTGCATGAACTTACTCAAAAGCTGAAAACTTCATCATCCCAGCATGTGAATCAAATCACCACCCTTACAGCCAAAATAGAGTCCAATAAGCAAGAGATTGTCACCATACTCACTGGAGCTAAGCAACAAGAGGCTGCAGATGCTGACCAGTTGGTCAAAGCTGTACAATTGATGCTTGCAACTGAGTTTCAGAAATTTGAATCAACCCTTACCTCAGCAGTTGTTGACAAAGTGGAAAAACTCCGGAGAGATGTCCACCATGATCTCAAATCAATCCAGCAAACCCTCCAGGGAAGTTTGGATCAGCTTACTACAAATCTTCAGCAATGTGAAGAAAAAATTAGTAAATGTCAGACCTGTGTTACACAGTTGAAAAAGGATTTACAAGTGCACAATGTGAAAGATGTTGAACCTCAAACAGAAACAAAAGCTGCTCCAGTTACAAGTACACTCTCCACTGAGACTGTTTCAACTTTACCAAATACCATGGTCAAAAGTGATCACCTTAAATTAACTTTTCCCACCTTTGGACGACATACAGATGATACTGACCCTTTATTGTACCTAACAAAATGTCAAGATTTCCTGGCACTTCATCCTTTGACAGATGCAGATCTTTTGGCTACCTTTCGCACTGTCTTATATGGCACAGCTCGGGACTGGTGGGAAGTGAGTCGCTCCAATATTGCGACTTGGAAGGAATTTGAGTCTGCATTTCTTTCTGCATTCCTGTCTGAAGACTACGAAGATGAGCTTGCTGAGCGTGTTCGTACTAGAGTTCAAGGAGACAGAGAGTCAATTCGAGATTTTGCATTTACTTATCGAGCACTTTGTAAAAGATGGAAATCCACTCTAACAGAGACTGAAATTGTAAAAATGATCCTAAAAAATATCAAACCATACCTTGCCAGCCAACTGCGCAGTAGAGTGAACACCGTGGAGGATCTAGTTAAATTGGGATATCTATTGGAACGAGACTATGAAGAACAAAGACGGTATGAAAGTCGAATGGCTCACAAACAAGCAAGTTCACAAAAATCTTTCTCCAATCGACCTGTTGAGAAACAGCCTATTCAGTGTTGGAGGTGCAGTGGTCCACATCCACCGGGAAATTGCCCAATGTATTTAACTCCACCTTCCCAGCAATCTTCCACGCAACATCACCCAAACCATGGAAAGAGTTTTCATGCTGCAAAGTCAGGAGGTCGACCTACGAACATCATTGTAGCAGCCTCAGAAACACCCCAATCAACAAAAGAAGTTCCAAATGTTTTCCTTCCATCTACAACTATGTCATCTCTGGCCATTCCACAACAATTAGTTGTCCCAATTAGTATTGGATCGTGGTTTGGAAAAGCCATACTGGACACCGGAGCAAGCTACACGCTAATACATGAAAGTCTAATGCAGCATTTTGATACCTCTGCCCAGCTACAAAACTGGTCGAGTGGACCTCTTTACTTGGCTAATGGAAAAGCGGAGATACCCTTAGGATGGTTAAACATCACTATTCAAATACATGGTAAATCCTTTGTAGTACCTGCTGTTGTCCTCCCATCTCAAGCTCTTGCATATGCCATCATCTTGGGTTTGGACTTCATATTCTTTAGTGGTCTGAAAATTCATGTTAGTGAACGCAAGTATTCTTTTACGTCTGATCCTACTGAAGAACACCCATTTCAACCTGGATCTGCAAGTGAACCTCTAGTTAAAATGACACCCATGACAGAAAAAAAGACTCTCAGCAAGAACAAACTCAATCTCACCTTGTTAAGTGCTGTCCCTCCACCTCAAACCTCATTGGGTATGCTACAAACTGATCATGTCGATGATGCAACACAGATCTGGAATGCTGTAAGTGAAGCACAGCTTCCCAAAGAAGAAAAGCAACAGTTACTACAGATCCTGCAGAATAACCCCAGGGTATGTACTCAAAGAACTGGGAAAACCAAGTTACTTCAACACCGTATCTACACCACCAGTCAGGTACCTATCAAACAAAAGCCATATCGTTTGTCTCCTGTAAAACAACAGGTGATGGAGGAGCAATTGGAACAAATGTTGAGAGAAGGTATTGTAGAACCATCACATTCTTCTTGGGCTTCACCGGTGGTGTTGGTTCCTAAGAAAAATGGCAAGTTAAGATTCTGTGTGGACTACCGCAAAGTAAATGCAATAACGGAAAATGATGCTTACCCTCTTCCAAACATCACAGAGATACTAGAATCTCTCTCTGGATCAACAATTTTTTCTACCATCGATTTAAACAGTGGGTATTGGCAAGTGATGATGGATCCTGACAGCAAAGCAAAGACTGCTTTTATTGTGTCTGATGGGCTATATCAATTTAATGTTATGCCTTTTGGATTAAAAAATGCACCTGCTACATTCCAGAGGTTAATGGAGACCGTACTAGGGGAACTAAGACGAAAGATATGCCTTGTCTACATTGATGACATAATTGTGTATTCTCCCTCAGTGACCCAACACTTCTGTGATCTGCAAACCATCCTCCACAGGCTAGAAGCTGCTGGACTGACCATCAACCTGGAAAAATGCAAGTTTTTCCTACCAGAGATCACGTTTCTAGGGCATGTGGTAAATGCTAAAGGTGTCACGGCAGATCCGAGCAAAGTTGAGGCCATTCTCTCTTTTCCTACACCCAACAATCTGAAGGAAGTTCAGCGATTCCTGGGACTAGCCGGCTGGTACCACCGGTTTGTGCAAAACTTTTCAAAAATTGCTGAGCCCCTCAATGCCCTGAAGAAAAAAGGACAGGTGTTTAAATGGACAGCACAGTGTCAACAATCATTTGACCAGTTAAGATCATGCCTTACCTCACCTCCCATTCTTGGCCACCCTGACCTCAAAATACCTTTCATTGTATACACTGATGCCAGCGATACAGGACTGGGTGCTATTCTCACTCAACGAAAGGATCCAGGTAGTGAAGAGGTCATTGCCTATGCCAGTCGCACCTTAACTGGGGCTGAGGTAAATTACACTGCAACAGAAAAAGAATGTTTAGCTGTTGTTTGGGCATTGGAGAAGTGGCAACATTACCTAGAGTACAAGCTCTTCACAGTAGTAACGGACCATTCTGCTCTTCAGTGGGTGATGGGATCCACAAAAACTAACAGCCGCCTTATTCGATGGGTCTTGAGACTGCAGAAATTCAACTTCATCATTGAATACCGAAAAGGGAAGTTAAATGTAGCTCCTGATGCTTTGTCCAGATCACCCCTCACTACAATTTCTCCTGTTACAGCAGTTTACACGAAGCAGCAAACAGACCAGCACACAGAGCTTCCAGTTTCTGATGTTGTCCTATGGGAGGAACAACATTCAGATGAAGAAACAACAAAACTACTACAGGCTGTAGCAGAAGAACCAAATCAATTGGAACAATATGAAGTGATAGAGGACAAGCTGTACCATAAAACTTACCTGAAGAATGACCAAGTACATTATCGTGTGTATGTTCCAAACCGTCTTCGGCCGACACTACTTCATCACTATCATTCACACCCGCTAAGTGGCCATCATGGAATATACAAAACTTATAAACGAATCCAAGCAGTTGCTTTTTGGCCAGGCTTATGGACTGATGTGAAGAGACACGTTAAAGAATGTGTGAAGTGTCAAACGATCAAGTATGATAATCAGAAACCAGCAGGAAAACTTCAATCAACCATCACCTCTCGACCTAATCAAATGCTTGGAGTTGATATTATAGGACCCCTACCTCGGAGTACACAGCAAAACGAGTATTTGTTGGTGTTTGTTGACTATTACTCCAAATGGGTTGAGTTCTTTCCCATGCGTCAGGCAAATGCTCAGAGTGTTGCTGTGATTTTTAGAAGAGAAATCTTAACCCGTTGGGGGGTTCCAGACTTCATTCTCTCTGATCGAGGAACACAGTTCATCTCATCTGTGTTTAAGAATGTATGTGAAAAGTGGGGAGTTACACAGAAGCTAACAACGGCTTATCACCCTCAGACCAATATGACAGAACGGGTGAATAGAACTGTCAAAAGTATGATTGCGTCATATGTGGATGACAACCACAGCAAATGGGATCAGTTCTTACCTGAGATGAGATTCGCAATGAATACTGCCATCCAGGAAACCACGGGAGTAACTCCAGCAGAACTGCAGATTGGAAGAAAACTGCATGGACCAATGGATAAAATACTTCATGGTCAGAATCTTATCCCCGATAATACCTCTTATGATGTAGTCTGTCACATACAACAACTGAAGTCACAAGTTCAAGAGAATTGCCGAAGGGCACAACAACGCCAACTCCGAAACTACAACAAAAAGAGAAGAGAGGCCGGTTTCAAAAATAAAGACAGAGTATGGTTGCGCAATTTCCCTCAGTCCAGTGCACAGCACAAGTTCAGTGCCAAGCTGGCACCAAAATGGAAAGGACCTTACCGAGTTTTAAAACAACTGGGACCTTTAAATTATCGTATAGCCTTGGAGGAAACTGGAGAAGATGTGCGCACAGTACATGTGTGTAATCTTAAAGAATGTTTCCCAACAGCTGAGGAGTTGGAAGTCCAAGAAAAAAAACGACTTCGGGAATTGTTTGAAGAAACCTCTGAAGAGGAGGAATTTTTTGGATTTTGATTGTATTTCTTTTAACAACCATGGGTTGTTTTGTCAAGGGGGGGAGAATGTGACAATACAGAAACTTTCTGTACTGCCCCTATTTTGTGTTTACTTCCTTTGTCACTGCCTTTTATAATGAGTTCAACCCCATTGGATGCTACAACCAATTACAATGATGGGAAATTATATAAAAGGGTTTTTTTCTTTCTTCTGGGAGAGAGAGTTCTGACCTCCAGTGTGGGAGTGGTGTTTGCGTCACCAAGTTGCGTTGCGGGTGTGGCTCTGCCTGGGTCTGAGGAAGCTGAGGAAGAGATGCGGCGATGCTCAAGTTTTCACTGACTTGTCCTTTATAGCCACGGTAACCCCAAGTTTCCTGGTAATTGCTGACGAGTGCCAGTCTTACGTTACCTTCGTGTTGCAAAGTTACCGGTGCGATGTGTGAGGACACCTCCGAAAACGGCTGCCTGTTCATCATTTCTGTCCGTTCTGCCAAGTCACCTGCCAGCCAGTGAACTGCTGACGTGTAACCTCCTGACGTCACCACTGCAAGCCTCTTGGGTCAGTTTCACTCATACACTTACATACATACATTCTCCACCCAACCTCCCTTTATTTTCATTTAATTAGTTATTTGAGAAATTTGAAAAGTTTTGTTTATTTATTTCTTGGTGTATTTGTTGTTGTTTTTTGAGAGGAATCTTGTTTTGGGTTACTTAAAATGATTGTAGGATATTGACTATATAAATATTTATTTTTGGTATTGTTGTTACTTGTAGTTGTATTTGCCATTTAAATTAATTCATTAAATCTTTCTAAGTGGAATTCGATTTTCTTGTTCTTATTTCGTATGGTTCTATGTTACTGTATGTAACGGAGGGTCTTGTATAAGTTTTGTTTTCGCTATCCTGGGTAATTAATTATAGTTAGATTTATTTGTGGCAAGGTTTAAAACTTGTCTGGCACCCGAAATCATGCATAAAATTTGTTAATATATGTATGTTATATTATAATATATTTCATTTTTTTG